TGTTGAGAACCTGCTGTTGCTGCTGTGGAGAACTGGGAGATTTTAGTGTGCGCAGTAAGTCTTGCAGGGCACTTGGGGCAATGTTACCAGGCATTCCCCGGGGCATGTTTTGCTGCTGTGGTGTCATGCCCTGCTGTGAAGGCCCCTGGGGAGGCATGACCCCAGGCATTTGGAGACCCTGCTGTTGGGGCATCATGGGCCTCTGCATGAGCTGGCCTTGCTGGGGCATGGGAGTTCCCTGAGCCTGGTGAGGGGCCATGGGGCCTTGTTGAGGAGGAACCTGTGGCTGATGACCCTGGGGATTCTGCATCCCTGGACCCCACTGACCCTGCTGCATAGCTGGCATCACCTGGGGGCCCCGTGGTCCCTGCATCATCTGCATCTGGCCCTGCATGGGCCCCATCATTCGTGAGTGGTTCATGGGCATTCCATTCATGGCATAATTCTGCTGCTGCTGCTGCTGCTGCTGCTTCGCCTTGGTTGCCATCTCAATCTGCCTGGCCATCTTCAGAGCTGCCAGCAATGGCTGCTGTTTCTGGCAAAAAAAAGGCTGAGGCTGCTGTTGGCAGCCATGCTGTGGCATGTTAGGCAGAGGTGACTGCTGTTGATGAAGAGGGGACAGAGGCCCTGGTTTGCCCTGTGGGATTGGTGTTGGGGGCTGGCTGTTTCGGCCACTGTTGGAGAAGCCTTGGGCAATATTGGCAGGGTTTGGTGGCTGCTGCTGTTGGGGTTGGCTGGGCATGGGCTGGGGGGTCTGGGGTGTTTTAGGCTGCTGTACTGAGTTGGGGGTGTCGGGAGCTGCTGAGGTAGGTGGAGATGGCATGGGCATACCCCTTCCAGCCATAGTGGCCATTCTGCGGCGCATCATTTGAGCCTGCTGCAGCCTGTGCTGCAGCTGCTGCTGACAGAGTTTGTGCTTGATGTTGAGACAGAAGGGAACAGGACACTTGTTCTCCTGACAGTGCTTGGCATGATAACAACATAAAGCAATGAGCTGCTTGCACACAGGGCAGCCACCATTTGTCTTGCGCTTGCAGCCCTTTGTGTGCTGAACCACTCTCTTCATCTTCTGGCATGAAGGCAAAGAGCAATTGGCATTGCGACACTGACAGGCATGGACCAGGGACTGAATACAGCGCTGAATGCTGAGACGCCGGCTCTCCTGAGGGCTCTTTGAAGCCTCCCCACCCTGGCTGTTGTCATCATCGATACCCAGACCCCATTTCACCATCTGGTGCTCATGGCCCTTAGTGTTGTAGCAGTTAATGCATAGGTCGTAGTCCTGATGACAGAAAATGAAGACCACATTGAGGTTATGAGCAAATAAAAATTCAAAACTAATACAGATGTAGATTCTAAAATATATGTGTACAGTACCACTTCTTCCTACCTCACAAACAGTACAGTGCCAGCGAGTCTCCACATGATGCTTGCACTCATTGCAAGTGTACACAAAGCGGTCCTGGCCCTGGTTGTGCAGCTCCACCAACATACACATCGTACTCCATTTGCATCTTCTCAGAGAGCTGAACTCCCAGTGCTTGTCCCTGGCCAAAGTCAAGAAGGCATCACGGCCATCCATCAGGTCACAGGTCAACAGAGGGTCGGGGTCCATGATGGGTGGAAGGGTGTTAATGACTGGACCGGCATGGAGGTGGATAACAAAAAATACCTGGTAGTAGAAGGGAGGGGAAACAAGGGGAACAAGCATATTGTCACAAGTTTCCAACTCTCTGTCCGTTTTATTTAGGAGGCAATTCCTACATGGAATCTACGTGTCTGGATTACTCTCTAAAGCTGATGGCTCCTGTTGTATGCTTGTGTACTCATGTAGCTTGATGTGCCTATAAGATGTACAGAAAGCCATGTGCCACTGAACAAAAACCTGTAAAGAGCCATACAATTATGCATAACCCATTTCAACCTACCAGCTTGGCTTTAAAATGAAAGTGATTAAAAAAAACTTATTGCAGCAATGTTGGGAATAGGCGGCCAAACAATCTGTTATAGTTGGAAGGGTTTCCCACCTCTTTATGCTTCTCCATTGTGGCGTAGAGCTTCTGGGACAGATCATTGGCTACATTCGGCATCCCAGGCTTTTTCTTATTGGCTCGGCTGACGCTGCTCTTGTTTTTGTTGGTTTTCTTGTTATTCTTCTTTTTGGCATTCTTGCTGTCAGCGTGGGCTCCCTTGAAATAGATACATGAACATTCAGAGAAGCAGAGATTACACAATTGGCTAGTTGAGGTTATGCAATTAAAGCCGAGTGCTTATACAGTGTTTGAGTGGCTGCTGAAAGCTTTTATATAATGAGGTGTTGAGGATGATAAAATCTGGGGTTAGGACAAAGGTCTAAGCACCAGGCTGTTGATTTTGGCATAAAAAGAGCATTCCTTTTTATAAAACCCATTTCAAAATGCTCGGAACAACTATTCATCTAACTCACCTCTGTCATCTCAGAGGAGGCCGTGTTCTCCTCCTTTTTTCTTTCCTCCTCCTCTTGCTCTAGCTCCTTGATGCTCTCTTCCAGTACATTAGGCCAAAAGTCACCCTCAAAGTATGGTAACTCGTTGGCACTGGTTAGCCTGTCTTCTGTTGCCTGCTTGAAAATGTCCTGAATATAAACACACAATACAAGGTGCGTCAGGAAACAGTAACACAGTTTCTAACAGGGACACACCAAAGATGAATTTAAGACTTTCTACAGCTTTTTAATGACGCATTTCAAGTTCTCAATTGGGCCACTGGAATGAACGTTTTAAATGGAAAAAACAAACACACACACAAAAGTTCTACTGGAGCATGCTTTAAATATTAGCTCCAAATATTTATCTGTGTTCTCTAAAATAGTTAGAATAGTAGTTTTTGTTACTCACATTTTGGCAGTAACCTATACCAAACACAGGGGGTAAGTCTCTACTATGCTGCACACTTGTAGACTAGACACAGTGGCCTGATTAAACAAATAGTATGTCATGTCAAAAGAGACACAAAGAGGACAGTACTGGCTAGTCATAACAGACACCCGAACATGGTGCAACTGGTGGCTAAACTGTTAATTATGATGGCCACGATCTTGAGACTGAACATGCCACTTTGATTACAAGAGGTGATTCTGTAATTATTTTCTGACCTTGTAATCATGTATAATCCTCTCAGCAAAAGCCTTGTCCAGCATCTTTCTGTACCACTCTTGGAGCCTCTTGGGCTTGGGAATCTTCTGGTCAGGAGGGTGGCAGTGGAAAATGTAGTCATCTCCTTCACTGGGTGGGCAGGCCCAGATGTGACCTGTCACATATCTGACCAGGACAAAAGTATTCAGGTACTTAGCACTAGCAAGACGAATACATCTAGTATGACATGAAAGAACACAAAACATTACACTGTGCAAAAGCATGCTCCACTCACCCAAGTTTCTTCACATACTCCAGGTAGCCTATTAAGATCTCATGGTACACTGCAGTCCTCAGCACGCGTGGTCTGAAGAAGTGAATACTGTCAAGGTATGATATGTAAACCCGCCTGAAAGGTAAATGTAGAGAAATTAACAAAAACAAAATGCAAACAAAATGCCACAATAAAGTGAGAAGAACTAGATATATTGCTTTTTTTGCTGCAGTCTTTTACCTTTTATTTGGAAAGGGACACTCCGAGCCATATTCCTGTACGTGCATGCCAAAGAAACAAACGTCTACACCATCTATTTCCTCAAATGCAAAAAGTGCTTTAGTTCTGTACGGGAAGCTCTCTACCATCTCGCCTGAGTCTACAAACCTATGGAAACAAAGAAGCAGACACATAATTACAAAAAGGATTTGTACAGAGAACTAAACATTAAAAACTGCACTCACATGGAGATTTGGGAGAACAAGCTGAGCAAGAAAGCCACACACAGTACATCTATAAGGAGGAGGTCATTATTTTACATTTAAATCCATCAAACAATATTGTCAAAATAGGTGGGATATCCTGGTGGCCTTGGGGTATAAGATACAAATTATATTACTGCAATGTTCTTGCATCACGTTCAGTGAGGAAGCAGCCACAAAATGAAAACTACCAAGTTATTCCACACTTAAATGTTTTTGTAAATCACGAGAGACGCGCCTCATCAGCAGGTGACAACCTTACCTGGACTTCATGCCAGGCTTAACCTCCACAGTTTTGTCAGAGCTGGCTACCACTCGCACAAACACCTCACCAGCTTCCGGGTGGTTCTGCCTTTTCAAGTACTTATTCACTCTGTCCTCAATGTATGTCCCCAACCTTGTAGACTGCAGCCCTTTACAACCACAAACACATTTATGATTAATTCAAATTTTAAACACTGCTACTTTTATCTGAAAGAAAATGACATTACATGATATTGTTGTATTTCTATTAAATGGAGCTTACGTTTGGCTGAAAACTTGTTTTCCTTTCTTGTTTTGCTAGACTTCTTCAGACAGTTGTCACAGATAAAGCTGGAATTAGAAGAAAGATCCAGCTGTAGGTTTGTGTCAACACAGAATAACTTACGCAAATACAAATTCCTGTTAGTAAGAATTCTGTTAAGATCAGACATGGACCGGATAGCTGTCAAAAAACCATCACAAAGACTTACCCCGATGGCCAAATGACTTCATAGTGCAGCACGCAGATCTGATGCATCTTTCGTCCACAGTCTTTGCATTCAACAAACCTGCAAGGACAAACATTGGCTATTTGCATGCTTTCCTTAAAAAGACTAGTAGAGTAAAAGTACCACTGCCATCACATAGGAGTCTAAATGAAGCTACTGTCCAGACAGTACTCACGGTTCAGGGTCCAGCATGTCATTTTTCTTCTTCTCAAACTGATCTTTTGATATCATGCTGCACAGAAAAAGAGACAGATACAACCACAGTTTGAAGCTCATCCCCACTGAATAAACCCAGAGAGAAAACATCATGATAGTCTCGCAAGATGATCAGCAGGTAATGTTCAGGCACCCAGGCCTAGTAACTTACGTCTGCGGCTGTGCTGGGTCATCCCCCAGGGTTACACTGTTGCCCTGGATTTCATTGAAGCACTTCTCACAGAAGTGATACCTGTCAGCAATAAGGCCATATTTGGGTGAACTGCAGCCAGCACACATAGTAGCAGCACAGGCAAACCGGCGAACAGGTGGCAGAATGAATGGAGCACACGGCAACAACCGAGGACGGAGCATGGGCAGCAGACAGACGGAAGGACACACACACAGGCAGAGGTACATGTTAGTCACAATTGAGATGGTCATGTTCCAGCCACTCTCATTCAAACTGGAAAAGAAATGGGGAAACATGCTAAAACGCTATGGTAATGATGTTAAATGAATGTCAAGAACACATGAATGTACAATAACACCATCTAACTGCATGCTGGAATATGAAAACAAACAATATCCCTACGGTCATTTAATAACATATGCAACATGCACTATGAACAGGTAAATGAATGATATGACCACACCAGGGAGGCAGGATGAGTGATAATGCAATAATGCATTACAAGTGTGCAGGTCATTTAGGAAAAATGACTTGATTATTTTAATAGAAGCAAAGGGTATTTTGATTCTGATATTTTAGGCATTTTGATAAAGATTTGGGCAAATAATAAATTCTTGCCTAGAAGTTCTTGGACACTATGAGGAATCCATTAAATTCTCATCAACAATAACTTCTTGCTAGAAGTCTTGAATCCTCAAAGCATTTAGCAGCAAGTATCTGGAACAGACAACGTTGTGCTGGAATGATTTTCATGTGCAGTAGCAATTTCTGTACTGCAGGGGGTGCTTTGGTACTGGATCTTGGTCACAGATGAATGAGGACAACACCATGCACATTCTGCTTTGCCACAATATACAACTGAGTGGTGGTGTGCGTGACACCCCTGTAAAGGAAAGATTATGTGACTTTACAGGTGTGTTGACTGGGGTATGCAAATAGTATCCCTGTTTTTTTCTTTGAGAATGCAGCTGCATTAACCCTTTCCTCCCCTTTTACCCATCTCTACCATTCAGAAGAGTCAGCATGCACTTTTACCTGTTCTGGTAGCTGTAGTAGGTGCCATCCCGGGAGATAGTACACAACTGTTTGCCATAGCAACACAGTGTCTGGGGTGAGTACTCATACTGTGGAAACAACAGAGAAACATTAAGAACCCATGTCATTGTGACAACCAGCTTACACTCAAGTCAACAGTCACATACAGGCAACGCTAAATATGAAATGACACAATTTATGTAGAAAAAGTGGTTTATACTGTGACAGTTCCCTGTGAGCATCAGTGTTTTTCAAGATCAGTGCTTGTTTTCCGTTCCCATCCTGTTTCATCTCACCTTCCTGCCGCAGCAGTAGCCCAGGCCCTGCATGACGGGGTCAATCTCCAACTCAAACACTTCTGCCAGTTTGGTGCAGTACTTGTAGACGCGGGATGTTTTACGATTGTACAGCCAGGCATTGTTAAACATGAGCCACACATCCTCCACATACTGCCATGGCTCCTGGTACTGACCCGTGTCCAGCTTGCGCTTGATGGTGGATAAGTCAATGGGATTCTTCACTATGTCAAAGTAGTCCTGTACAGCAGGAAAGAGATGTGAACAAATCATGCTTAATGGTGTTTTCTGTGGGTCTTGTAATACTAGAACAACGGCGTGCATATGTATAACTGTGGACACTCACAGGGATGCCCAATAGCATGGGGTCCACAGGTTGTCTGAAGGGCAGCGACTCTGGGTCTTGCCTGTAGAGGGCCTCAAGTGTCGGCATTAGAGCTTGTCTCAGCTCCTCTGGTTTGAAAACTGGACAGACAACCATGGTATCAGAAGAAACTAACCACAAAAACTGGCAGAACAAGCAATGTCTGCAAAATTTTAATTGAAAGCTATCTGTGCAAATGCACTGTGTGTCAAGCCCTATCTCACAGTGTATGTTGATGAATGAGCACAGGCACTGATAAAACCGCTGTTACAGGATTTATATACTGTACATGGGGATGTCATTACACAGTAAACCTTCAGTTGCCACAAACATACAGTTTTACTTTGAAATAGATTTCATTGCAACATAAACTGAAATGAACAATAAAATGCCTTATTTCAATTAACTCCTGTTTTAGAATCAACTGACAAGATTTACTTGGTATTAAGATTGATATCAATTGGTATATGTGATCGGTTTCTTACTTTTTTTGCGGTTCTGAGTGGTGCTAGAGGTGGTTGATGTGCCATTGGCCCCACTTTCCTCTTCTTTGGGTTCTGCCTTCAACACTGGCTTCTTCTCCTCAGTTTCCATTGGTTCCTGCTTTGGCTCTGTTGCATCTGGTTCCTCCTTCTTCACCACTGGAGGTTTGGTTTCATCATCCTGCTAAAAGAACACAATAATGGTTAACTATCCAACCGTGCTGAGTCATGAGCATAGCACTATTTTAGAAGAGTGAAAAGCCACAAGTCAAATTTACTTTTTTGGACATGAAATGTGAGCAGAACTGGTTGGTTGTGGTAAAGCTAATTGGCAACAGCAACTAAGGGTTGAGCCAGTAAATGGCTTCTAGTCTGATCTACAGCAGACAGAAATGTGCTTTTTTTTCTAACTCTTGCCTCGGCATTTTCTCTTACATACTGATGACTAAATTACCAAGTAATATCATAGGCATACCTCCATTTTTACATCAATCTGCTTCTTCCCAGAGTTACTGTCTTCTTCTTCATCTTTTACTTCAGTCTTGGCTTCAGTGCCACTTGAGTCAGGCAGGGCCTGCTGGGAGCTCAGCTCAGCGACGGAGCCCGGGGTGGGCACTCTGTTGTCTATACTTGCTGCTGCCTGGGACAGCTTTAAGGAGAGGAGAACGAGACAATGTCATCATAATACTAACCATTTATAAATAACAGCGTAATGGTTTTATTGACGAGGATCACTGATAATGTATTACAAATGAGTCGTCAGTGATCTAACAATATTGTAAAATTATTTTTTTTTTTTTTTTTTTTTTTGCCTGTTCGAATATTTGAAAATTGTTGCCCATCCCTATCAGACACCTAATCATGAGTTACCCCCGCCTCAGCGTTTCCTTCCACATTGGGCAGGATTAACAGAAGCAACAGCATGATGGCCTTATTACAAACAAAGAAACCCAATCTGTTGGAGTCTCTGCAATTATAAGCCGGTAGGCTAACAACTTTCTTTGTCCTTTAAAAGTGCTCCTGCTTTCATTCCTTATTAAAATGAAAGTAGCCAGACATAATCTAAACATGGGCAAAAATTGGCATGAATTGTCACTGATACTCAATGACCAAGCTGTTTGCACAGCTGCAAAACAAAAGATAATGCAGCAGCCACTAGCAGACTTTTTATGCCTTTTATGAAATAAAATAACCTACTATTGCAGCAGCTGGATCTTGCAAAAAAACAACAAAACAATCTGCACTCACAGTGGAACATCAGATTTTTTTTGCTCCCCCTAGACAGCATTAACTTTCTGTTTGGTGGTTGTGATGACTGGTGGTTGGGCTCTCAGTGTCAATGTACCAGTTGAAGCAGGTTATCCCCGCACCTCACGCCCCCAAACACCGGGGGCAGGATTAAACAATTTGTTGCTTTGCACACCAGAACGAAGGGAAGATGACAAATTACACCAGGACAAGCCAGAAAAATGAGAGATGTGTTTTACAGACATCGTGGTTGACTTTTTCAAGAGAAAAGACTTAAGGGTGGTTACTAAGTGGATGGTTCAGCATATAAACATCCAGCTTCATTGAAATGTAGCGCACAGCCATGTCCCGAATGTATCTACGAGAGGTATCCAGGACTATCTCTGTCCTATACAGGTCCAGTATTGCCTCTGTCCAGCAGTACTGACTGACTGACCGCATTTAGTCTGTTTTTTTTCCCGTCCCTGTGAATTAATGTAAACATTAGCATTGTAAACATTTTTTCTACGGGTTACACATCAATTTTTGCAGGTGCCCACTGTGCTCTCAATTGAAATGCTGCTCTAAAGGTTGGCAACAGCGCATCCGCTATGTCAGTTTTAAATTCTGCGACCTGAACGCAGTTATACTTTCGAAATAACCATATTACTCCCGGTAGACTCCGTAACAGTCCCACAACGGTATCGAGACATTTTTCTATCGTGATATTGCAAAATCACAAATATCATTACATCCATAATATATAATGAGATATAAATATGGTAAATATATTTACCAGGCTCAACTTCAAGGGCAAAAACAGCAGTTGTTTTTGTCAATGAAGAATTTATTTTAAATAATTTCATTCATTTACAGATGAATATTCTTTGTATTCCATACAAAATTAACTATCTAAATTGTGTTAAACAGTGAGGCCTTTTGCATTTCTTGAACTTTGCACTAATGCTGTGTATTATCAAACTGCTCATATAGGCTCATTGGATGTTTCAGAATTAGTCTAGATCCAACAATATCAATATTAGTCCAAGTAGTGTCTTGGACTGACCACCAAATTTATAGTGTTAGTAGGTGGAATAAAGTTGTTTTTTTAAACACATTTGCCCATGAATTTAAAGAACAAAAGCTAGTTCCGGGTCTCACAGCTTAGCCTTGCCTAGGGAAACTTGGAGCTTAAGCAGTTTCCTAACCAAGGCTGCATCCCCGGTGAACTTTAGCTTCCCTTCGAAGAATGCCTGAGAAGAAGAGAAAAAAGAAATGTCAACACTTATCATCAACTGAGATGCATCTCTATTACACTAAAAATCTGGAGCACAAATCTAATGACATAGTGGAGAAAATGCTACGAGTTACACTATTAAGTAAAACACTAAATTATTTGTTGTGTTCAGTGAAAACTCCTCTGTGGCAGGATAAGACATTAACTGACCAATCATAGGTCACGTACCTCTGCAGCCGGTGGCAGACAACAATACAGAGCGATGAGCGGTGCCTCTGCACAAACTGGACTGAACACAGCTCATTTCCTTGAACGTCCCTGATGTTTATTTTATTCTATACCATTTTTTTTTTTTTTTTTTTTTTTTTTTTTACAAAAAAGCCAAATTATATTGACCATGACTGATTTATAAATTCAATAAAACGGTAAAACATCCAAGGGGGTGAATACTTTTTATAGGCTCTGTACTCAATTCAGACGGACATGATGAAGGCACCCCGCCTACTGTGGCTGTCTAACTCCGACAGATATACAGGGCATCATGGCCAAATGCCAGGGCAACAACGGCCATGGCTGCATGACCTTCATGAAATTTATACCCTGCAAAGGTTGACAACATTAAAAAACATTCCCATTCATTTCCAGCTCTGAGGTAAACGGAATGTAGCACAGGTGTAATGATAGCGTTAGCACGTGCCATGCAGTGATGCTTCTGCTGCCTGTATTGTCCGTTTCACAGCACCAGAGGGAGAATACTTCAATCAACAGGCATTTAAGTGGCCCCGAAATCTGTGCTGTGATTCATTCAGGTAGATACAAATTGTATAAGAAACAGTGCCATACTGGCACCTGGTTTCAGTACCCATAATGTACTGGCTTTACAGTAAAAAATATTGTCTCACCGGTGTGCTAGGGTGCTGTGCCTGTATGGAGGTGGGCTGCTGCATCTGGCTGGGGTGTTCAGGTAGGGGCTGCAGGGGTGTGAGCGGCTGGGAGGGGTCAGGCGGTGTATTCATGGCTGAGGGGGGACCAGGGAGGTTACTGGGTATGTGGGTTGGGGTGGAGGAGGGCCCATCTGTGGAGGCAGGGGTGGAGGGCTGAGGTGGCACCTGGGCCTGCGTGGGAACATGGTGCTGCTGAAGCTGCTGGTGAGGCTGCAGGCTGGCAGAGGAATTGGGTGGAGGAGTGGTACCCAGGGTGGGCTGAGCTGTAGGGCCACAGGGCAGCTGGGAGCCAAGAGAGCCCAGTGCATTCAGAGGGAGGTTAGAGTTCTGTGGCTGCTGGAACAGCAGGGATGCACAGTTAGCACACCAATACCCATCATTCATGAAGCAGCACATACACTGACACACAAAAGGCTGCCTTTAGAAATGCACCAAACACAACAAGAGTACAAAAGCATTTGTCCCAGCACAGTACAGGTCTCCTCACCTGTGTGACAGCAGCCTGTGATATGGGTTGGCCCAAGCCTACATTCACATTCATTGCACCACCTGCAGTTGCAGGGAACTGGCCTTGTTGGAGGAACTGGCCCTGGTTGGTTGGTTGAGATACCATGTTATTGGCATGACCACCCATCATCCCTTGAGTCTGAGATACCCTTGATGGGGACATGCCCATCTGGAAAACAGGGAATAAAACATACTAATCATTACAAGAGTAAGCATCCTATAAAAAATGTGCCAAGAGCAATTACAAGTGAAAAACTGAAGAACTCAGAGAAAAAATAATTTAAAATAGATAAAGGGGGGAAAAAAGATAATAATAATAGGGACAGAGGAGAAAGTTCGAACCGTTGGGACGGAGCTCATGTTCATCTGCTGTGGATGGTTCATGGGGGGGGGAGCATGTGCTCCCATGGCTGCCTGAGACATCTGTGCATTCGGCATTGCCATTGGGTTAAACTGATTGATTCCTGTGGGAACAGATACACACCTAATTATATACACAATAATATACCTGTTTGCTATTCCCAGGCGTTGTTGTAATTTAATATTCTGTGTCCTTCTGGGCTGGCAGAAAGACTAAACCCCCTTGCTTAAAAAAAGTCAGAGCTCTGATAAATGCATTTGTTAACTGGGTAAACAAAATCAGGTGCATACAGGAAGCAACATTTAAAAGTCAACCCATTAGTATACTTAAGAACTAGTAGCTGAAAAAGGATGTATGAGGGGCTTTACCCTGAAAAGGTGAGAAAGCAAAAAGCAAGCGCATACCTTGGGGCACCGGCATACGGTTCATTATCTGATTTGGCATGTTGGGCATGGGCACAGGTCCATCTGCCACAAGACAAGATAGTGCAATGTTCATTTAAAAACTGCTCTCAGATACAGAAACATTTTTGGACAACATCTTGGTAGTTATTATAATTAAGTACTTGTATCAACTGAGAACAATCAACCAGAGTGTAAGAACTTGAGCTACTAACTGGGTGGTCGAACAGTCTGTCCTGGGCCCATAGCATTGGGCTGAGCCATACCAGGCTGTTGGGGCACAGCTGGGCCCACCATGCCAGGCTGTTTCTGGAGCCGTGAGCGTCTCTTCTCCTCCAGTTCCTTCTGGATCTTGTAGATTTTTTCGGCCAGAAAGTGGTAATACTCATCCTAGGGGAAAAAAAAGATGAGACTTTTTCAGAGAATAATGAAGGTTTCTCTACTGTGAGAAAGGCCTAAGGATTGAAAAATGCTGAGTGATGGTGTGATAATAAAAATAGCAGTGTGTATTATATTAGTTACCCTGCTGTTAGCCGACTCGTACATGTCACCCTCGACTTTGCGTGCATACGCCACCAGGTTCTCCATTCGCCGGTCCTTCAGTGCTGCAGGGTCTGGGGTGGGGAATATGGCTTGTACTCTGAAGAGAAACAACATATTACCCCCACAAATCTCAACAACAACCAGGTGCACCATGTTCTATACTGTCTGCATATGACTGAACTCTAGCATTCATAATACATCTGACTATTGTTAGACTTACAGTTTGTCCACTAGGTGGGTGCGCAGGTCCTGAGTGACGTGTTCATGCCAGGCCTTCCTTACCCCCGTAACAGAGAGAGGGGTAGTAGCGGGCAGGTTTCCCATGCCTCCTGCTACTGACCCATCTGGCATCAGCTGACTACACAACAGAGAAAGGAGGACACTATTCAAAATAATAAATATTGACAATTCCATATGTAATTTGCGCTACAAAAAAATCATATCGATAAATTTTAAGTTGGTGTATAAAAAGAACCCGGGGGCCAGAGGACAGACTGAGATCATGGATGACTGTACGTTAAAATCTGATTCACTAATTGTGATTTGGTTGGCATGGTTTGGGTCCACTTGACCACTTCAACGGAAAAATCACTGCAAATCAATACAAAGTTGTGCCGAGTGATCAAATTTATCCTGTGATGAAACATTTCTATCTCGATGGGGGTGGTCTTTTCCAGAATGACAGTAACCCCATGAATGATTTAGTGAGTAGAAAAATAATGTGAATCATATGCAATGGCCTTGACAGTCACCAGATCTCAACCCAGCAGAACACCTATAGGAGATTTTGGAGCAACGTGCCAGACAGCGCTCTCCACCACCATCATCAAAACATCAAATGAAGAAGAATGGTGTTCATCACTCTAGAAACTTGCAGAATCAATGCCAAGACACATTTGGTACTTGTCTGAACATCCTATAAAATGACTGCAGAAGCAGCATTAACCATAAAGGGTGCATTGTCAACACATGTGACATACATGTGACAATGCATGTGAACTGCCCACAAAAAGTCGAGTCATTAGTCGCGAGACCTGTCAGTCGACTGAGGTTCTTCTAGCTGAGCCTTTGTTTTTAATTATTATATTGTACTTTTTGTCAGCCAGTGTGCATTACAACAGAAGGTAGCAGGTAGTCTGTCATCTTCAACACCTCATTTTGGTGTGGCAACAAGCAATCTGCTCAAAACTTCCCCCTACGATAGGGGGGAAACCCATTTCAACAGGGACACTGTCCGATGCACAGACTTGCATTAGGAGGATCTATTTAGTAAATTGCAGAACAAGGAGAGAAGGACAACAAAATCCACTAGGACAGTCCACACGAGTTTTGTACTTTATTAGAACTGATTTCAAACATTGGTGTCTAGTTTTACAAGAGAAAAAACAGTCGCAACAATGTGGCTGGTTTTGCATAACCTGAGGTTACACGCGTCCGGTTTGTTTATCCATCTTCGTTACAGTGCAACGCACAGCCGTTTACTGGCATGCATCCATCCGAACGGGACTAGGAAGCTAACACAAATGCGTGTGGAAAAAATTTTAAATAGGAATTATAAATAAGAGAAATTGTTCGCAGTGCAAGCTGGCATACAACCAACGCACAGTAATAACATTAGCTGTGGTAAACCGATGGGAGAAGCTGAAACATGTTGGTAAACTAGGCTACCGTAAAATCCGGACTATTGAGCGCACCTGACTATAAGCCGCGCACACTAAATTTAAGAAGAAAAAAAATTTGTACATATATAGGCCGCACTTGTCTATAAGCAGCAGGTGTCCATGTTGTAACAAGAGATATTTACACAGAAAGATGTTGCACAGCTTTTGGCGTCTTTTTGGATTGAGTCAGTTCTTCACGCTGCCCTCTCCAACATCTCACCATCCATTCATTGATGCCAAGTTTACGTGCAGCAGCTCAATTTCCTTCTTTGACAGCCAGATCGATCGCCTTTAACTTGAAAGCTGCATCATATGCATTTCTTCGTGCGTTTTCCATGATGAGGGTGTGTGCATGAAACACAAAATGACTGATCTGAAGAATTTAGTGTGAGTGCATTTGATTTAATTCGAACAGTTTCATTGGTCCACTGTGACGAGGCTAAATGTATTGGCGGCACGAAGCTTGTTAGTCCGTAAAAATCCATAAATTTGCCGCATCATTGTTTAAGCCGCCGGGTTCAAAGCTTGTGAAAAACGTAGTGGCTTATAGTCCAGATTTTACGGTATAACTACATCGCAGAAAAAACAATTGCCTATTAACTATTGATTTTGAAATGATCAGAAATATGTTAGTCTTAGTTAAAGTTAATGAGGTTGAAATCATCGTTGACATTGATGCCGGTTGATTTTGTGACATGTCTAGGCTATAGATATATATTAAAAAAAAGAACGAATAGTCAAACAATCGCACTGAAGAGCCGACTTACAGTCGACTGAGAAAATCCTTAGCCCTAGAATGCTCACTTGTTGAGTGTGGAGGGTAAAGAGGAGTCGGAGTGCATCCCGGTCTGGTCTGAAGAGGGAACACCCATGCCTCCTGCCATCTGGTTCATTTGATTAGTGCCTGAGAAACACACATTGTCATTTACAAGGTTTTACAAGAAAATAGATTAGCAACACAATTATACTATTGTGATCACTTGTACAGTCTAAAATGCCACTGAAGTCCTTTCCATCCTGTACCTAGTGGGTTCAGATTTCGCATCTGCTGGTGCTGGGGGCCCTGGGGGTTCTGCTGAACTGGACCCTGGCCCTGCCCCTGGACCTGAGCAGGGGACTGGTTCCCATATGGCAGGCCAAGGGCAGCATAGGCCCTCTGCATGGAGCTGGCGTCGATGTGCGTGGCAGCGCTGTTTATGGCTGTGGCACTGGGCTGGCCAGGTCCAACTGTGCTGATGGCGTTCTGCAGACCAGTCCCAGGGGAATTAAGCATGGCTGAAGTGAGAAGACAAGAAAATAAATCAGTGGTTTGGAAATATTAATAAAGCATTTAATAAGACCCTATGATAGCACTTGGCAGATAAGATACTGCTGCTTCAGGATTCACCAAATATTACAACGTGTAAATAGATAACTGAAGCCAAACCATTAACATTAGTTTATTGCCAACTTATATAAATACATGGGGAAAATAAAAAAATTAAAAATAATTAGCTAGAATAATTGCTTTTGTGTATTTGTGAATAAAAATCTGTGTGAAAGAACATGATCTTGAGCATCACTCTAAAATCCCCACTGCTGCTCCATGCTGTGCTGACTGCTGACAAGGAGCATGCCGCCTCTGTGGGGGATTTAAACCTGTCATAGGGCCTTTTAACCAATCAGAGATTATGCTGTCCCCAGACCCTGCCCCCACTGATAGCACAGCCACAGAGCCCCTCCCTTGGGTGTCACATTACAGGCCCAACCTCTACAGAGGAATCCTCTCACTGTTCAAGCTCCAACAGCAGAAAGTGGTGGCAGAGAACATGACCTGCAGGTGGCACCACTTCATACTGCACACAGACTTGAGACTCGCTGCTCAGTGACAGCTGCCTTGTTGAACAGTCTGCAAGACTTCTACTAAAATGGCTGTGAAGATATGTACCTAAGCACATAATTGCAAACACCAATAATTGTAAGTTGTACCGCTACATGCACCAGTCTCAAATATATATGCATATAACATTTATGAACACTGCCTCTCCTTCTCCCATGCATCCCTACCTTTGATTGGACTATTCAGTTGTCTGTTGTCTATTATCGGTTGCCTAAAACACACCGAGAGCCTCTGTGCCAGAGACGAACTCCTCATATGCTCCACATACTTGGTGACTAAAGCTGATTCTGATATGAGAAATTCTGTATGGATCTGTGTTAACATTAAACTTAACCTATATGCATTTTATGTGTATTTACAAATGCAGATGCTTGGTTACTCACGTTGCTGGTTCCTCTTGTCACTGGCATTCTTCAGAGGTAGGCAGACTGGACAGTCATGCCGCGTACAGTTCTTCCAGTGGGAGATAATTTGTCTGGATGATGCACAGTGAGCAACTATAGAATAACAAGGAGACAGAGACAAAGTATGACATGGTGAGCACAAGTGAAATGGGTGTTGATGAGCAAATATTTGGGTTTTATAATGGCCTGATAAAGCAGTCAAACCCAGAACCACGTCAAGTTAAGGTAGGTCTGGAAATTCCTTTCAGAAGCATTTTTGTTAACATTTCCTGAATTTCTCTTTTCGTCCCAATAGCAATGAATATTAAATGCACTGACAACATAAAGGAAAAAATCTGCAATCTGTGGCAGCAGCAGGGCTGAAAAACACCTGACCAATAATTTTATTTATCATAAAGCAAAATCATTAGATGGGCTACCTGCCTGGAAACCTAACTTCCTATTTGTGTACACTCTGCCCTTGCACTCAATGGATGAGCCAAGAGTCTCCCATAAGGCACTGCAGTTGCAGGCAGATGTGTTACTGAGCTATGGCAGAGAAGGTACCCAAAGCAGATTCTGTTCACAAACGGTGAACAGCTGCTCCAGGTCTCTCAGATTTGAAGGCTTCCTTCTCCCAGCAGCTGTTTTGAGACCTCTCCACAGGTGCTCTATGGGATTTAGATCTGGACTTATTGCTGGCCAATTCAAAACTCTGTGGCACACTGCCTGAAACCATTTCTGGGGACTTTCTGAAGTTTACTTTGGGTCATTGCCCTGCTGTAAGACTCATGACCTCTGATGGAGACCCAAGTTTCTGACACTGGGCCCTACATTGAGCCCCAGACTTCATTGGTAATCTTCAGATTGCATAATGCCCTACACACCGTTAAGACATCCAGTGCCTGAAGCAGCAAAGCAACCCCAAAACATCAGTGAACCTCCACCGTGTTTGACCGTAGGGACCGTGTTCTTTTCTTTGAAGGCCTCATTTTGTTTTCTGAAAACAGTAGAATGATGTGCTCGACCAAAAAGCTCTATTATAGTCTCATTTGTCCACAGGACATTCTCCAAGAAGGATTTTGGCTTCCTCAGGTAGGTTTTGGCAAACTCCAATGGTTTCTTTATGTTTCTGTATCAGCAGTGGGGTCCACTGGGTCTCTTACATAGTGTCCTTTGTCATTCAGATGGCGACAGATAGTGCGAGCTGACACTTGCACCCTGTGCTGCAGGTCAACCTGAATTTGTTTGGATGTTGATCAAGGTTCTTTATCCACCATTGGAACAATCCTTCATTGCAATTTGTCATCTACTCTTCTCTTTCATCCACGTCCAGGGAGATCAGCAACAACATCATGGGCTGTAAACTTCTTGACAATGTTACTCACAGAGGACACATGAACAGCCAGATCCCTGGAGATGGACTTGGAGCCTTGAGACTGTCCTATTGTGGTTCTCAAATCCCCAGACAATTCCTTGCTCTTCTTTCTTTTCTCCATGCTCAGTGTGGTTCACACGACACAATGGTTGAGTTGACCTTTCTCCATTTTAACTAGTTGCAAGTGTGATTTCTATATTGCCAGTACCTGTTGATTACTACAGGCGAGTTGCATAACAAATTAAGGGAGCATCACGTGCTTGAAATACAACTATATGATTCTTTTTGAAAAGTTGTCAATAATTCTGTCCAGTCCATTTTTGGAGTTCTGTGTGGAATAGATCAGATTAGGATTTTGTCTTGTTCCAGTGCAAACTAAAGATACAAACAACTTGTGATTGCAACAATTTTTTGGGAGAAGTGGTGATCTGACAGAAATGCAGGGGTGCCAATATTTTTGGCCATGACTAAATAATGTTGTTGTGGCCAAAAATTGCTGCCTGCATGCAGTGTGAGCAGTATGAGAGTGAGAAGACTGCCGCATGGAACAGACTCCTTTGCATGCAGCCAGATAGTAAATGGTCTTTCTATGCTTTTACAGCACACTCAAGGCGCTTTCACATTATTCGGCCATTCACCCATTCGCACTCCCAAGCACTCACGCATTCACACACCGGTGACATCACCAGGAGCAACTGGGGGTTCAGTGTCTTGCTCAAGGACACCTCGACATGTTGACTGGACAAGCCGGGAATTGAACCGCTAATCCTCCGGTTAGGAAACGACCCGCTCTACCTCCTGAGCCACAGCCGCCCCAAAGCAGTCAGCTATGAGTGTATAGATAAGATTGTAATGCAGTTAACTGGGCATCAAAGGCCACATGCAGTGTTTGTTACCAAGATGGAATAAAGCCCAGCTTTAGCTGGCTTCACTCTTTACTTCCCCCCAACAGAAAAGCCCAGACTTCTAAGGCAGAATCAAAGGGTGGGATTTCTTCAGTCATCTGTTTTCAAAACCAAGCTTCCTTTTGCTGTTTTTTTCCAGTATTGCCAACCCTACCTTTAAAATACATTACAGTCAAAAAATAAATAAATAAAACCTCAGCTGTTACAGTGCAGGTTTTACATGCTGTAAAACTATGAACACACCCTTGCATTTACTTTAAGCACATAAAAGGTATAAACACCAGAGTTTAAAGTTCATAAACCTTGATTGACCTCCTCACTGTCAGAAGGAAGCTGCTCTCCACCAGGTCAAACAACAAATCAACTATGATGACAGCCATTGGAAAAAAAGATTAAATTCATGTTTGCTGATGTTGTCAATCACAGGGTCATTTGGGGTTCAGCAAGTCAAAGGGATTAAAGTGGCACCATTACAATACAAGAGCTAAAAAGAGCTTACTGGTTTTTATTGTGCAAAACAATACAGCAAAACTGATTAAAAAGCACAGTTGCTTAAGCGTATTATTGTTATTTTAAAACTGCATTTAAACACTGTCAACAAAGGTTTAACCTCCAATCACTGCCATTTAATCGCAACTCCTCCAGTGCCATTAGCTTTATAGGTCAACGACTAAGCAGTTTGGATGATTAGTGTTATACAGGAGTATGCAAATTTCAGGGAACTTCCTTAATCAGCTTCAAGTAAATTTCAATCAATGAACAATTATAGTGAGGACAATATTCATATAGGGTTATACAAATTGCTGAAGGTGAAGGCAGCAGGGTGAACCCAAACAGCAGTTTTTACTGTGTTGTTCCTGTGGTATGTAAAGCAACTGACATTATGCCCACATCACAGACTCTGATTACAGTTGCTCACAACGTGCACAGTATAAGTCTAACTAATCCCATTTCTTGATCCAGCTCTTGATAAAATAGATTTAAAAATTTGCCTATAACAAGACAACATAACAAGACACAAATGTTTAAATGAGAGGCAGGTATGCTTTAGCTAATTCATTTAAATATTTAACACCTTGTGGTCACAGGTGCACACACTCAAACAGAGGTCAGCCAATTAGAAATCTGGATCCAAGCAAAATTTTCATTCCAGCACACTCAGTCATCAATTTCACTCACCCTGGCAGGACTTGCCAGCCTGGCAGTGGGTCATGTGGTTGAGGACGTTCTTCATGGTGCGGCAGTGGGGCAAAGTGCAGGCCCTCATCTCCCCGTTGGCCTGCTCCCGCCGCTGGCACTTGTGCGCATGGAGCAGCAGGACCAGCTGCTGCTGAATGAGTTTGCGTTTCTCAGGGTCAGCCGTCGGACCTGTTGCCACGCCACCAGCCACAGGGACCATGCCCACTGATGCCACGTGCTGCTGCATCTGTGACTGCAATAGAGAGCCAAACTCACACAGGTTAGACACTGGTGAGAATATCAGACAGTCCGTATTTTATACTTTCAGGTTTAAAGCAAAAACAAAGAAGAAACCAATAAATATAATGAATTACAGGCTACCTTTATGTAGCAGGGCGATGTATGAAAAGAAATAGACAAAAGTACAACAAAATATACTGACTTTTAAAACAAAAAAAAAGTGACTTTTCAATTGTCTCTAACAAGTCCTCTGTCAGGGGTCAAGTAATGATGTGCAATGATTTTTGAATATTCGAGTAGTCATTTAAAAAAATGGAATATTTCATGCCACTGTTTTCTGTTTTGCTTCTGTTGTTTTGGCACTATATGGTCCCATCAAGAAAAACAGTCACACTGGATAAACTGTGTGATGATAATGCATGTGCACTGTGCAGCCATTTGACAAGTATTAATAGCTTTTTAACAACAGAAAAGGTCTATGTCACAAACAAATAAGCTAATCCAGGTTGGAGATGGACTGGACGTTAACTGCGAGTAGAGGCAGTTCATTTTTTATTTTAGTATCTACAGTATATGGGGAATGTTACAAAATGTTAAATACTGTTTAAATTAGGGTTGATCCGTGGCAGTCAGGGTGCACTTACTATAATCATCTTATAGAGCTGAAAGTTTTTAACTGGAAAACTTCACAGTATTTCCTCTGAGGTTTATTTGTTTAAGCACAAAATTCTGTTTGGTGACAATTTATTTTAGTCTCCGTCAAGATGAAAAGGAATGGAAAGATTTAGGCTGAAGTTGCTTTTGCTGCACAGCCAGTACAGACAGTGTCAAGTCTTAAGTACAAGAAGAACCCCTTAGTAAGTCTCATTTAAATAAAGATGACACAAAGATGTTAGCCAAATTAATGTGTTTGCTTTGATTTCAACACTTAACATTATACAAAGAAAACAAAGGGCTATTAATGGATGCTTTTATCCTTTATGAGAAGCTAGAATGCACACTTTGATGGCTGCAGAATGTCTCTTCATGTCTGCAAGGTAGATAGAGTGCGAAGTCAACAGATGAAACCCAAGCCATGTCTACAAAATAGCACATCCATTTCAAAGAATATTTGCCCCGAGTTACAGTATCCATGCCTGTGTGGACATTTATGTTTTTGTTTTATATTGTATATTCCTTTTGCTGCCAGGTGCAACATGTTGATGTAGTGGATACAAATTCCACTAGACAATACCCAAAACAAAAAAGGAGATGAAACAAATTTACACCTTTTTGTAAGGTCTGAGTGACACTCACCATGTTTGGCACAGTCAGCTTAAGGTCAGCAGGGAATTGGGGCAGGTTGTTTGAAAGGACTGTCTTGTTCTGGAGTTGTTGGGCGGTGACACCCGCTGACCCCATCTGCTGCACCCCAGTCTGACCATACTGCTGGCCAAACTGAGCTCCCGACATCCCCATCTATAGTGAGTAGAGAGGACAAAGGGTGGTCAGGAGATTTGCATATCATGCACTATGCCATCACAGCAGATCGATCCTTTACCACTGCACCTCTGAGTCTGTGTGATAGCCTATGGAACAGTTTCTAACTCTTTATTAGAACTGTTTTCAAACATCGTGGTCTACTTTTACAAGAGAAAAGAGTGTCGCGACAATGTGGCTGGTTTGGCATAACCTAATGTTATGCAAGTCCAGTTCGTTTACCCATCTCCATTAAAGTGCAACACACAGCCATTTACCAACTGTTTCTACGACATGTATCCATCCGAACGGGACTAAGAAGCTAAGAAAAAATGCGCTGGGAGACCATATGAGTCAAAAATTATAAATAAGAGGAATCATTCGCAATGCAAGCTGGCTCACATCAAACACAGAGCGACAACGCACTGTGGTTTACCGACAGGAGAAGCTGAAACCTATTGGTAAACTAGGCTATAACCACATCTCAGAAGAAAACATTGCCTGTAAGAGCATTGTTTCAACAGAAATACAAGTGTGCTATGAGTCTCGTTCTGCCAAATCCATATGGTAGCCCGACATTTTACATTGTCAATTTAAATAGGTCGCGATTTAAATATTGCATCATATGCAGCTGTCTTTTATTGATTTTTAAACGCTCATACAGTATGTTCTCCTCACTCTTTTGCATTTAAGTACTGATGTTAAAATGGCCAAAATCATCATGTGGTCAAATTCATGCCAGATGATTTTCTGACAGTCTAGGCAATATATTCATTTAAAAAAGAATTAACGGTCGCACTGAAGAGCCGACTGGCAAAAACTTGAGCAGTCCTACAATGAGAAAGGTAGAGAGGCAAATATGTCATGCAGCTCTACTGCCACAACGTATGCTTCATTCCACAAATGTTTTCATCTATTCTGCCTTCATCGAGATGACCAGGTACCTCTAATGCACAAATAAGCAAAAAACTGAGGGACTGCTGTCAAAAACGTCTGGGGCACTTTAAGGATCAACCACAAACTGTAACATCTCTAGTTAGTGTCCAGCCAAGCACCTGTTGCATGTTGTTTCTCATCTATCATGACATATGAGGAATCTTTGACATCTACCTACTGTGACCATTTATTTAAAGCAGAAAATGACCTAATAAGTGTTTTTAAAAAAGCATAAATGTGCTTCATCATCCTTTGAAGCGCAACTGATAAGAGTATAAAATTCATCATCAAATCAGAATAAAAATCTGTAGAAATGCATTTTTGTTATTTTAATATTGGTCCTGGAAAGGGACTATTTAGCTTTCCCGTTAGTTCATCCAGAAGCAATTTATTTCCAGCTGTCCGACGGCCTCAGCATGCATCTGTCTGCTGCCTTTGCCTTCCTTTCTTCACAGTGGCTAAAGCAGCAGCCTGCTTGCTTCGCGGCACTTCCCCACTGCCAGCAGTGCTCAAGCAGACAGAGCAAGCCCAGCCCAGCAGGGAGAGTAAAACAGGAGAAGACAGAGAAAGACAAGCTTGCTCAACAGCTGAGCAAAGCACTGCTGCCTGCCCCTCCCCCTCCGATACACAGAAACACACAGATGCTTGCCTGCTGCCTCCCTCCCATTCACACGAGTTCTCCCACTTGGTGCTCTGCGCTTATTACCGAGGAGTGTCAGAGGTTAGAGGACAGCACTGTCACACAGGAAGTCTCCAGTGTATCCCCGCCTCTGGGCATGTCTCTTTTCCCCTCTTCAATTTCTTTCTCCACCCTGCTTCCCCCACCTCAACAAGAACACACAAGCCAGCTCCACTAAACATGATTTACGACTCCATTATCAAAGGCTAGAGGCCCACAGAAAAACAGCACACCAGAGAAAAGAAAGAAAATGGAAAGCAGAGTGAATACAAGAAATGACAAACTTTACCACTGAAAAAGAAGAGAAACAAAGGGAATCAAAATATCTGAAAATCCTAAAAATATCACATTATTCTCCAAGCATCCTTGTCATCTTAGTCTCAATCAGATCAATTGGTCAAACTTCTAGCCTGTCGTAAATACATAAAGGCTTGGATGACCTGTAATTTCTCACTTCTAAATGCCAGAGTACTGACAGGAACTAGCAAGAATTTGCTTCTCTCCAGTGACTCCCTGTAAAATCCAGAATAGAATTTAAAACTTTTCTCCCAACATACAAAGCTCCATTGCATCTTTAAGACCTCATAGTGTCGCATCATCCTAACAGAGCACTTTGCTCAGAGTGCAGGTCTTATGGTTCCCAGAGTCTACAGAAGTAGAATGGGAGGCAGAACCTTTAGCTATCAGGCCCCTCTCCTTTGGAACCTGCTCCCAGTCTCAGTTTGAGAGACAGACACCTTCTCTACCTTAGACTTAAGACTTTCCTTTTTGATAAAGCTTATAGTTAGCTGGCTCAGATGACCCTGAACCTTCCCTTAGTTATCCTGCTATAGGCCCAGACTGCTCCCCCCTTGATGCTATGAGCTCCTCTCCTCTCTCTCCATGTGTCTATATTCCACTATCACTAACCTGGTGTCTCCTCTTTCCCCGTACCTTTCTGCAGGTATCCCTGGCTCTGACCTTTAATTTGAAAATATCTACTTGATTTTTTTCCTATTCAAACTGATGATTCTTCATAGTTAAAAGCAAACTATTACAAAAAAAACTAGTAATTAGATGCTGTGACATGCAAAGAAACTACAAATCAAGCAATTTGCTCATAAACATAGTAATTTACATGCAATATACAAGCTCTGGTGCAACAGATTCATACAGGTGCACCACAAAGACCCCTTCACTTTATGCATAGTTTGGGCTGTAGATTTCATTTTAAATGGATCAAATTTCTATTGCTGCCAATCAATCTGCAGCCAATAAATCCATATGACCAAGTGCATTAAATTTGCAAATGTATTAAAAATCAAAACTTGAAAAGTATTCAGGCTCTTAATTCTGCACTTTGACAAAGCTTCTGATGCTAATTGCAGCTCCAAGTCACTTCGAGTAAGTCTCTACAAGCTTTGTGCACCAGGATTTGGACAGTTTATCCATTTTATCCCATTCTTCCTGGCACATCCTCTCAAGTGTTGTCTTTCTGAATGGGAAGCATCCAAACTGCCATCTTCAGGCCTGTCCACAGATGTTCTGTGAGGTTTAAGTCTGGGCTTTGTCCAGTCCACTCAAGGACAGTCAGAAACTTGACCTGAAGCCACTCAGTGTTGTCTTGGCTGCATGCTTCAGGTTATTGCGTTAATGAAGTGAACCGTTGCCTGAGGCTTCGTCCCAAATCACTCTACTCACTATATAGTGTGTTCAACATTATGTAGTGGCATATGGATACGGAGTGTGTCAGTGTATTGACTATATAGCACGCTCAGGGTGTGCCTTCCATGTCCAATCAATCCAATTTACAGGTGGACTTCCAACAAGTTCAAGACATTTCAGTGATAATTAAGGCAAACAGGATGCGTCTGACTACAATTTGGAGTGCCAGAGCAAAGGGTCTCAATATGTCCCATGTAGTCAAGAGAAATCAGTTTTATTCATGACACTGAGTAATAATGGAGCCGATTACATGTCACGTGCTCGGTCAACCCATCACTCCAGCACATTTTCATTGTCACTGTCATTTTATCTTCCAGCCACAGACTAACAAATACTCATTACTCATAACCAGGTTCAAATCTGTCTCCCTTTCCCCATCTCTTCCTTTCAAATACCTGTCATCTCAATGCACTGTAAGGCCATTCTATACACAGGTACACACAGAGCAATCTTCGTACAAGAATTTAGACATTAAGGTATACATGTCTGTATGGGAAATGAGTGCAGGAGGGGCTTGTTTCATGTGGTGACGTCTGTTCAAATCATGTTAGAGAGAACTTGCTTTCTGGTTTAACCTTGGTTTCCTGTCAAACCACAAAGCCTCAAGTCTCTCATACACAGAGGGGAAACATTTTCTCACAATGAGCACTTCAAAGTCTGTGCAAGATTTTCACATAGAAATACAACCAGCAGCACATACTGGAAATTATGTTTCATTCATAAACAAAACTAATAGAGATTAATTTTGTAGCAGTATCCCAACACAAATGCGCTTGTTGTATTAATATTGTTTGTACTCATTCTCAGATTAATGAAGCATAGGAATGCTTTAATAACCACATCAGCCATTATCTGGTATGACATTCTCAGATTATACCCACAAAGACTGATTCACTTGACTGCAGATTCAAGCCCCTCTGCTGATTGTCTGCTCTCTCCAGCAGACCCAGGAAGAACAACTGATCAACTGATAACCGATGACAAGCCAGCAATAGGGCTAGGCAGTAGAAATAATATACTCTATATGCTCATCTGAATAAAAAGATGAAATGAAAATGAGAAAATCATGAAGTCCATTGCTTGTCAACAACAACCTATTACATTTTAGGACCAAAGCTATTTCTAACCACTTGTATGGCAGTTCTTTAGTAAAGCACTGCCCACTTCTTAAAACAAATAAAGAAAAATGGTACAGGTTAAATTTGTTAAGTTTGCCACATGCTATTGTTTCAGCAAGTGGACAAAACAACAAGTCTTAACATGCAAACATTTGACAGTTTTATTCATTACAGTAGGTAGTGTTACATGTCCTCAATAAATTATCTTTCATGCTCTGTAGCCTTCTTGTACTTTGCTGAGCAAACACTACCTCACTTGAGGGACTAATCAAGCTGAAATTTGAACCTTACCTTATTCAGGTTTCCAGCTTGCTGAGCATTCAATGTGTTGTGTGCACCCAACTGTGGCCCTCCTTGGGTGAGTGTTTCTGCCAGCACACTGCCTCCAACACCAGGTCCAGCACCCACTTGTGCCCCCTGCATGCCTTGGGTCTGATACTGCATGCCAGGCCCAGGTCTTCCCCGGCCTGCCGGTCCCAGAGCCCCGTTCATCACCTGTCCCGTTTGGCTCATGACCCCATGAGCCTGCCCACTGTTCAACATGGCCTGGTTAAAGGCCATGCCTGCACCTCCATTGCCTTGTCCAGCAACACTTCCTTTCTGGGCCTGGGGAGACTGGTGGCTGGGGGAGCCCTGCCCCAGTGAGCTTTTACCTAGGACAGCACCTAGCTGGCTTCCCACCATGCCTCCCTGTTGGGGGCCAGCAGAGTTTAGACCCCCTCCCAAGACAGAGGAACTTCCTGGTCGCAGGAGCTCAGACAGCTGCTTGTGTTTGGCAGCTGCATCAGGAACAATGGAGTTAAGACCAGGTCCGCCTCCACCTGGGCCACCATTAGAGGACATTCCCATTCCCAGGTCTCCATTGGGGATGAGTTCATCTGGAAGGTCATTTTCCAGGTCAAACAGAGACACAAGATCTAAAACAAAAGAGAGAGAGGAATATGAATTAACCATCATCACTAACACATCCTTTTCAACAAAGTAACAGATCAAACTACTTAACTACCAAGCACAAAGGTTTCAAGAGAGAATTGGGTCAATAATCACATCAATCATCAAAATAATCCAATGAAGCACCAATTATACAAGCCTGATCTAACACTGGACTTTAAGCAAAAGATAAAGGCTGATTTTCAATCCATTTTTGGTGGATATATTATTAAGAGACATCAAATATCAACACCAGTCTCAGAAACTATTTGTCAGGATTCAGCATATGAAACAGCACTACAGAGGAATTAACAAGAATTCCACTGGGAGAACAGACAATCTTAGACACAGCTGTATAAAAAAATTCATTTATATCATAATATGGATTATCAGGTATCATCAGCCAGCCTAGTCTATGCTTTGTTATAGGCCTACCCACTCTTGTAGTGAAATTATAACTCCACTGAAACTTCATTTCTTTAGTTAGAACTGCACACTGTACTCAGAGGTATATTGGTCATATGAAGCAAAATATAAACGATTGTAGCAGGTAAAAATAAAATTACAAGTTGAAGACAACAATGTGACAAATGTGGCACTGTCACAGCACCACAAGACATCAGCTTCTTGTATCTTGGGGGCAGATTTTTATTATCTTATTCTATACAAAGACAATTAGATTGAATGGACAAAGTAGTTTGAAATAACCTTACTTGTTTGGTGTATTGTGCATGTGTACAAAATAGCAATCAAGTAGTTCTGTCCTTGCTTTATGTATAGAGTAACACTGGGGGCTAGTAAAAAATAAAATGGTACAAATGAAAAGCTTTTGCTCTGTAGCTTAGAGCACTCCTGTGCCTGTGCAGAACAAAGTAAGCATGCACACCTAACACACAAACCACTAATGAAGGTTATAGTCCATATAATGCATCTCTGCCAATGTCCTTCACATGAGGGTTTGAGTGTACCTGTGTATGTCAGACAATAAAGGTTTTACCAGCACCCACAATGCCAAACACACCTAGCCTGGTGTCTTGTTAAGGTGTTATTAGGGTTCTAGAGGAATCCTGCACATGTCACAATAAGGTGTCATTCAATTTGAGCTTAAAATATTACAACCACAGGCTTTAAATGAAATGCCCAAGTTGTTAGTCCTTAAGGTTAAGCAAAAAGTCTCAGACATTTATGATGCATGGCTGAGAACAAGCACCTGTTTCTTTCCCGAGGCCTATTCAGCAAATATAATAAGATCATACAAATTTATAAGGAAGAGGATGCAGTGGAGCCAAGAGTCTGGCTGAAAGAGAAAAAGTGCCTTTGGCATGGTGATTCTTTTCAAAAGACAGTGCATGATTTGAATTTGTTCATCACAGAACAAGGACATGTTGAGCATACCTAGTTTCAAGCAATCATATGTCAAGTAGTGGCAACAGAAGCATCCACTAATCAGAGATTCCCGAACTTGAGTCAGGCCACATTCAGGATGAGTGTCAAAGGTGTCAAAAAATGCAGCTCTCCCCATTTATTTCTATTGGGGGATTGCATTCTCCGCAGCTGGCACCACCACTGCAGGGGGCTCCAGCCAAATGATGCAACTGCGTGTGGTGAAAAGCGTGAATCTGGTTCAACTTTCACCACACTGGACAGTGAACAAGGGACGATCGGAACATGGACGCCGACAGAAAGAAAACTTTTGTTTACCCTGTTAGAATAAGCATTCAATGCTATTCACCGTTGAAATTGGGCCACAGTTAACACAATAACAACACGCCATGCCTTTTCGTTAGTACTAGATGTCAGACTCTGTTTTTCTTTATCTATCAGTACCGACACACTGGTGTTAAACTTGATGCCAAGGTAGAGTAGGCGACATTTGCAGCATAACTAACCAAAACACAATGGAAACTCATGGCTTGGAAACGTGAATGAAGCCACTCATATTGACTCGTCATAACATGGCCGTATATACACACCTACAAAACTCCCTCTGCAACCCCTCACCCCCGACCAACACAGCCCCTACAGCAGGAAGTTGCATTGTTACCTGATCGGTCTAAATGTCCACTCACATTATTCTCACCTGAAGTGGACAATGATTCTCCCAGTCATAATTCACCCAAAGCTTTTCAGCAGTCACATGAAGGTCCTACACTCTTCAGACTGTGAGAAAATAACATGCTGCACAACAGGCTGCTGCTGCCCTACCAAAGTCAGAGAGAGAGCGCTGGAGAGTGGAAGAGTAAGATGCACACCCACCATCTTCAAAGAAAGCAGGAGTCACAGACTCCTTGTCACATTTCCTGGGCCAAACTGTAACAGTATTCATAGTACTACTACCAAGAGACCTTACACTTGTTTATCAAAGTCTTAAAACACAATAAATACACAAGACAAACCCAAAGACTACAAAGCTGTGCCGAGGCTGATATGGGAAAACACCAAGTTAGGGCCTCAATTACAGACCGCATAAAGGTGTTTCTTTCATGCATGTGGCCATATTGCTCAAGTGAACGATGGCTATTTACATACTCACAATGGTTTTTCATAATTGAATGAAATCCTAACTGTTGACAACAGTTTGCATTACCCTTTTTGTGATTTGTTAGGCTGCTTGACATTAAGAGAATTATTAAAATTTTAAAAATATGGTTTACATTTTCTCACCATACACAGCTCACATCACTGCATGATCCCGGTTTATGACAAACTGGTGTGTTTTCCATGAATATGGCTGTATGGGTCATGCTAACTTTACATTCAACACTTCTTTCCTGGAGATTCGGGGAAACAAGGACTTGCACAAACCTGCCTATGTCACATTTATTTGGAAAGCTGAAGGTGGATCACAATGGTAGTCTGATATACACAGTAGTCTTTGCTTTCCCCAGTCTCTACAATGGAAGTGGCTAATAAAATGTTAGCATGACCCATAGAGCCACAACAGCCACATTTATGGGAAATGAGCCCAGGATGGTGCTTTATAAGAAGAGCTGTGATGACTTACAGGTGCTCAAAGTTAGTGGCACCCTACACCTGTAAAATTGGACCTGCAGTCATTTGCTGCTATGAAAGTCTGAGCCATTCAATGACATGGACAAGAAAAACATGTGGGAAACAAAGATGAGAATGAATGAAACTGCTCACTCTCATTCCTCAGGATATTAGTATCATGCGAATACGTAACATACAAAAGTCAGAAGCAGAGGGAGGAACAGATCAGGTGTGCAGAGAGATGCAGGGCAGATCCTAATGGCACCCAGTGCCACACACCCTTGTCATCTTCTCAATCAGTTCTATCTTAACTAAGACATTAGTCAGTAGATTCAGGGAATCATCTGATATACAATAAATTGTATATATATGAGTCTGAAAGCTCTTCTGTATATAGATGTACATATAAAAGATGTCTCTCTTTTCCTCTCATTCTTTTCCTATTTGGATTGTACACATTTCCTATTTGAATGCACACACTGTTTATTCTTATTCAAATGTTTTATTGCTCTACTTTTTATTTGTATTCTCAACATGTTCTATTCTTGTTGCTTTTAAAACACATTGAGAGCCTCTGTATCAGAGTCAAATTCCTGTATGCTCAAACAAACATCAGATGATTCTGATTTGGTACACTGCTGCAAGGCAACATTTTAACGCCTGACTAAATGTGAATGTGTATTAAAGCTGACACAGCTGTATAAAGTTCACCCAGCGGTTGTAACCCTGGTTAAACAGAAAAGGAGGAAACCCTGCAAGGTGAGCAGTAGGGCTGGAAGGTGGCTGCCCATTTCTAACATCGGGCACTGACACACCCACTCAAAACAAACCTGACACTGGCCTGTGGCCAAAGGCACAACACAGACACAAGACTCGAGTACCATAAAAACTGTCACATATTAACATAAATATCAAAGACTGGCTGCTAATCTGTGGCTGTGTGCAATGGTGTGATGTGGCAATGGGAAACATCTTTGCTATATGTCAGACCAGCAGCAACAGAAAGGCTTTACTAAAAACAAAACAAACCCATTGAAGTATATAGTGATAATACATCTATGGAAGCAAATAATTATTATTTGAGTTACTGAATTTTACAATTTAATCACTACTGAACACTCTTTGTTTAGATTTAAATAACACTGATTTTACTGGACTGAAATATTTTTATACTGAAAGCAATCTATCCATGGTCTAAATGCTCCTCTTTGAAATGCAAGTAAATTTTTAGTGCAATTTCAACATTATTCCCAGTACATCCATTTTTAGGGATAGATGAGAAATTCAGACTTGAACATTTAGGGTAACCAGGATGACCAGTCGAGTCTGATTGAACCATGCCTTTAGACTGCACATCAATTATACACCAATAGCCATGTACGGTGTAAAAACAATGAAAAAATGTATTAATTTTGCAAATTTGTTCTACACACAGACTCACTGATAAGACTTCATCCGCTTACATTTCCAACTCAACAAAACCAAGGACAGAAGAAAAAGACACCATAGAGGAGCAAGGCTGCAAACTACAGGTTCCTCACAGATCTGTGTCTGCACTTACCCTCTGCAGCCTGGCACTTCAAATCTATTCAGTGTATTTATGAGCATGAGCCACATCTAGGACTTCAAAGGCAGCAGGTCTACAAGAGACACTGTGCAATGTCATTCTGAATATGTGTTTTTGTGTGTCAAGTCAGACGGAATGGCTTCTGGCAGCAGCGGGGGAAGAGGCCCGGTTTTGGGCTGCTTTATTGCCCAACGAAGGCTCCCGCCACCCCTCTGAGAAGATGGACTACCTTGGCTGAAGACTGAGGACTGTCAGTAGCAAAATAATGCAGCCACTCACAGAAGTTTAAGACAGACAAAACAAAGGAACTTCTAAAAGGGCAGACAGATGTGTCCTACCTATCGCCACTGCTCTGGCCTCTATGTACTTTCTGGAGGACAAGAGTTAAGAGACAGCTGCAGAGGTGCAATCCCATAACTAACCTTTCTGAAATTAGACAGTCAGTGCCTGGTGCTAGTGTTATGCTCCTGCATAAGAAATATTAGGGCTACACCCGACTAAGAAATTTGTCAGTTGGCTCTTCAGTGTGACTATTCATTCTTTTTCTTTCTATTTCAATAAATATACAGCCTAGTCTGTCAGAAAATTTGACCACATGATGATTTCAACCACATTAACATCTGTATTTAAATGCAAAAAAGTATAGGGAACATACTGTATTTCTGAGCATTTAAAAATGAATAAAAAAACAGATGCATAAGATGCAATATTTAAGTAGTGACCTATTTAAATTGAAGATAAAAAATGTCAGGCTGCCATATGGATTTGTTATAATAACAAAACAGACGTATATCTTTGTTGAAACAGTGCTCTCACGTATAGGCATTTTCTTTCTTCTGAGACGTGGTTATAGCCAGGTTTACCACATGATGTGTGCCAGCTTGTCCTGTGAATGATTTCTCTTATTTATAATTCTTCATTGAAATGTTTTCCCAGTGCATTTTTGTTAGCTCCCTGGTCCCAATCAGATGGATGCATGTTGCAGAAACAGTCAGTAAATGGCTGTGTGCTGCACTCTAACAGAGATGGGTAAACAAACAGGATGTACATAACATTAAGTTATGCAAAAACCAGCCACATTGTCGAAGCACTCTTTTGACTTCTAAAAGTGGATCACAATGTTTGAAAACACTTCTAATAAAGTACAAATCCCACCTTTATGTGGCCTGTCCTAGTAGGTTTTGTTGTCCTTTTCTCCTTGTTCTGCAATTTGCTAAATAGATCCCACCTTAATGAACATCCATGTATTGGACATTGTCCCATTGCAATGGGAATTCCCACCTTTCACAGTATTGAGAATTAGGGAGACAATCTGGGGGCAGCCCTAACAGATACCAACAAAAATGGGTAAAGTTTTGAATGGATCCTAGACCTGATGCTGTCTCCCAACCGGAAGGTTGAAGGTTCGAATCTCAGTGCCTGCAATCCACATGTCGAAGTGTCCTTGGGTAAGACACTGAACCCCCCAAGTTGCCTGTGATGGCAGCGCGTATGCATGCAGCAGCCTGGGGCCCTTGGCTCCAAACAAAACTTCGTTGTGTGTGTCACAATGTTAGAATAAAATAAAGCTTCTTCTTCTGAGCATAGTGAAAGTGGTGCCCAACAGTGCTCACACCATTGTTTTTCAGCCTTTGTAATTCAAAACAAAGCAATTTAAGTGGAAAAACATGTTTCTGCAGTAACAGAGGAGGAAGCTCACTAAGAAGTTTTCAGCTCTTAGTGGATGGTCTTAAAAAAAAATTGCCAGAAAAAAGTCAAATTCATCATGGGTTTTTTTTCCCCCCAAAGAAAAATAATGTCACCTTTTTTCAGGTATCAATTTTTCCAGCATCTCAGATTTTTCCTTTTCTCTGCTTTATATTAATGTAAACTTAAAAAGCTGTGGCGATTACAGGTTCTTTTATAACCCTGCTCATGCAACCACCCGCAACTGGAAATTGCAGACGTTTATCATTTTTGTTGCAGTGATGATCACAGGTGCACTCACTCTTGCTACACAGAGGTTGTACTTTGGGGCCTGCATTATCAATGTAGTCTATCTACCATAAGACCAATTTAACTATATGTACCTTACAAAAAAATAATACAATTATAATTTAACATTTAAATTTAATCATACAAGGATATACTCAGTTTTTGTATAGTGTATACATACACACACACACATACACACACACAATGTGACTGCACAGCCAAATGAAGACTCCCCCAGATGCACCTGTTACATGCCCAGGTTGGCTCTCTTCTGGACAGACACAGCAGTTTATAACTACAATAACAAAATCGCCTTAGTAAAATTTCTCTGGTGCTGAGGATCTGTACGACTCTGTCCTGATGAACAAATCAATTATACAGTAAATAAAACTAAACTCATCATAACAAAAACAAACTAACATAAACATTCCTGTAATTTACCATACTTCTGTCTCAACCATTAACCACATACAAAACCTAGAGTTTGAACACTGGGAGACTGGAAGGTTGGGTGCAAACTTTATCTCCTGAGCAACTGCAATTTTCAACTGATGAAGAGGCAGTGAGTCTGCACCCTTTTTTACGCAAACCGAAATTTATGGTATGTTTAGTCACTTGTGGAATCGATCAAACAATCCTATAGAAACTTAATGTATATTTTCCTTGTGATTTTTGCACAGCCCTGCTTAGGTGCATGGGTTTACTTCCGTAACTCTTTTCCTAAAGGTGCATACATCCAGACTCTTAAAGCAGGACTGAGTGTTTAGGTCTAACAAACTCAAATCTTATTGCAAAGTGGCACATCCTTCCAATGCGTAATCTAACATTACAGATGTTGAACCTTTGCTATCCTTACCTGGGCCATCTGATCCTGAGAGAGGGGAATTGAGCTTGGGTCGCTTTGCAGTGGGGGGTCCGACATCCAGCAGATTGTCAGCCATCCTGGTCGGCTAATATTATGAATGAATGATGATGATGATGCAGGAAAATAACAGCAGGATCGCTCCAACTTGTCGGTCTTTGACTCGTAACAACTGGTAACCTTTCCTATTTTGCGCGTAAAAGAGCTATTTAAATGTTTTTCTTCTTCTTCTTTGCCTGGCAGACTGGCGAAATGCTGCCTGGAGAAAGGATTTCAAAAGAAAGGCAACAGCGCCACGCTTCGCCGTCGAAGATCACCCCATGATAATCCAACACCCAACACCCACATAATTATTCTTAATAATTACGTCCAAAAATTATTTATGTTCGAGATAAATAAATAAATTTCAATCATAAAATATTACACAAAGCGTAAGCAAATCCCGTTCTCCACAGATCGCCGGTTTCACATCTGTACAGAATCATTTTTTCGCAGTCGAAATGAGCAACCCTAAAATCAATTTTGGGCTGAAATAAAAAGAGCAAAATTCGAAAAATATTTTCTATGAAGTGAATTATTTTTCTCGTCGCTGTCTCCCGGTAAATACAGCGTCTCGGGACGGAGATACGGCGAGAAGCGGAGCTCTCTAAAAGGGAAATCAAATATACCGTGGGCTTTCAAGGCGACCAAAACCCATGTAACCTTCATATATTTGCATTAATTCTCATCGGAAGAACCACCTCTTCGATTTTCTGCACGAAAAAAGCCGTTTCAGCCCAGGGTGAAAAGCTCCGATCGGTTTTTAAAAATAATGCTCGTGCGTCATGTGGACGTACATGAAGTTTCCTTCAGACTAGTGTAGAATAACCACAAAAATATACATTTACGGTGTTCTGCCTGCTTCAAACTTTGCAAAAACATCTCTTCCACAAAAAGACTATACTTAAAAAAATGTATTCTGAAGGTTAATATGTAAATAGCAATACTTTTAAGTCCTACAGCTCCTATACAATTTCTTTATTCCCATTACATTACTGCTGGTGGAAAGAAATTTATTCGAGTCATTTTGAGGTATTAGGCTATGATTACTTTTTATGTTGTGAATATGAAAATGTATGAACAACCTGCCTGTACCCCATGCAGTCATTGGGAACTTGAAACAAGTTGTTTTCAAAGTAGAAGCAGGCTACTCTTCAGTGTTTCTGTTTAGTGTGAAAAAGTTATATTTCATACTTCAAACAGAGACAACACAATATAAACAAAATGTCAGTTTTCCGTTTTATACAACACTAAAACAGCAAAAATTAGAAATACAAGTATCTCAACACTGATGGCTACTTAAGATGTACATGAAAACATGTACATACTATCCACCACTGGTAAATAAAGAACTGGATGTAGGGTATAAGCTATAAATTCAACAGGACAACAATTCCCAGCAACTGATTTTATTCATTTTTAACCTTTACTTGCATACCTATTAGCATGCTATATACAAAATCATTTCCATTGAAGGCAACAATTCATTAAGCTTGACTGTAGCAGGTCATAGAAATACTTCCTACCTGCAGTTTCACCAATTTTATTTAGCCAGTTTGAAAGAAAAAGAAAACCTGTATGGATTGAAACATTATTATCCTAGCATGTCAGAGATCTTGAGATGATAAAGTTGAAAAAAGGGCTAAGTTTAGAGCATCCCATACAACCACACAGTTTTACAAATCCCCATAAATTTTACACACATGCAGGCAAACACAACACACATTTTTCAAACACTGTTAAAATTATTCCGTTTTTTATATTTAATACTCTAGTACATGCATTTATAGAAATAATAAAAAATGCTCAGATACTATATAGTATAAAGGTACTGTACATAAAAACTGAATGCCTTGTGCAAATGTCAAATGTGGGTGAAATTATAAATTATCTTTCTTAAACATGCACAACACAATCTGTAAATTAAGGAAGAGAGAAGTCATAATATACAAAGAAAATTCACGAGATGGTAATGACATTCTTTGGCATCAAGATTTTGTCAGTTTGTCATTCTGTTTAGAATGTCACTTACATCTCAATAAGTCCAAGCACATAAACAGAAAAGCTTTTGAAGTTAAAAAAAAGAGTTGGCAATCAAATTTGAGTTGACACCCTTATCTTATAGTTCATGTTTGTCGCAAATACAAGACTAAACCAGAACACTCCAGATTTATTACTTTAAACACTGGATAATAACAAATATTATCTTGACCATCCCTTTTATTTTAGTATATCAAACACAAATTTTGGGCTGGTGCAAGGGTTGTGTGCTCATAAGCGAAAAGATCGTTTTACCTTTCAGACCAGTTATGGTTAACTTTTATTGCATTTAAAACAACCACAACTCCTTCTGAGCAATAAATACAGTACAAAATGCAAGGCCAAACAAAAAGGAATTCAAAAACTGCAATAAGGCCAATTTTTGTAGAAAATGTTTGGTATGTTTACATTTATTTGTACACATTAAGAAAAGGCACTGCTCAAATTTTATGACCATCAAAATTAAGTTTGCTTTAAGCACAAAAGTAAATACTCATATCACAGGCGCTTGTAAAATAGTCAGTCTTATAAATGAAAAGCAATTTAAAGCTGACAGTGAACAAAAAGATAAGTTCAACTCCAAGTTGAAAGTTAAAAGGCACAAGTGAATTTCACACAAAGAAAAACAAATTATTAGGATTGTTTAAATTTTAAATTATTTGATAAAAAAGGCAAACTGGCTCTTTGTTTTTGTGCAATACTTAATATTATTACTTAAAAGAATAAAATGCTAATTTAAAACTGAGGTTGTTAATCTGCTGTTCAGGTTATTAAATGTCAAAATTAAGACTCGTGTGCATTTGATGGTAATGTGTTTTTGCCTCTGAGCACACAATCCTTTTGCTAAGAAACACGCTAATAAAGAAAAACTGTAACAATAATAAGTGAAATGTACAGTTTAATCTGTTTGATTTCATTACCTATCTGACATATTGGACTAGCACGAAATCAATGAAGTCAAAAAGAAAAGAGTGAAAAATCTAATATGAAATACATTTGGTGCACCATCTTTGCATTTATAGGTCTATTACATTAAGTTTTATGCCACTGCAAAAATGAAGCAGATAATACTTCATGCTGTTTGCATTTAGTAATTCAAATCACAGAAATCAGAGAAAGGAGATTCGTGTGAAAAGATCAAATTCAGTCTTCATTTGTGATATTCCACTTTGATTATTCATATCTTACAAGCACTATCAATTAAAACACAGTGTAATCCATAACAAACTCGGGTAGTTTTCATTAATTGATCTAAACTCACAGCGTACAGCAATACCTCACACTGAAATACTCATTAACACTAAACACAGCTTGAGTGTTTAGAACCTGGATCATGGGGAAGGACACAAACACTAGTAGAAGTTAGCCTTATCTATGGTGTTGTTGTTGCAAGCATGCTGATTAAGTGCTAGATTATTCCAAGGCCAGATGAAAAAGCTGCCACAACAGGAAAACAAGAATTTTTTGGGCTGTGTTCCTAATCTGTTTGTCATCCTGCAGTTTCACCAATTCAGCTGAGTCATTCATAAACACCTCACTTCATTAAACCCACCATGATTGTATTACTACACAGAGACACACACACACACACTGTATGCATTCAAATGCACTCATACGACATGCACCTTGGCCCCGTCCACCTCTAGCCTGTATTGATTAATCTCTGCTCTGCCTTTCATTAAGTTTTCTGGTTTTCACACTGCATTTTAGTGCAGATTTTACTAATACATATATTGCAGCAACATTATTTCCCTTCACTGCTCACATTGTGGCACTTTCCATATGCAGGATTAGCTTGCAGACCTCTGTGAATAAAAGGCAAAATATCACAGCAATCATAGCAGTTTACAAAGTAAAATTGTAACAAAAGAAAAGCAATTTCCAAAAAAGGTTACAGTTTTCCTTGTATATAATTCTTCTCTTACTCAAAATGGCTTAGTCTACACATTAGTCTATTCTAAAGGCACTTAAAAGACAATCAAGATTAATAGTGTAAAGATAATCAAGTAAGTTAATGGGACACAATGGGATCTGTTAGAAGGCAAGAGAATGTTCAGAGTCACTCATCACATTTACCCATTTCTTCTGTCTGACTCTCTCTGTGATCTGCCCAGCACCCTCCACTGATAATATCAGACAATCAGATTTACACTACAAACAACCCACTGCCTGGCTAATGCAGAGATGAGGCCTATGGGTCTTTTGGTAGGACCAAATGCACAGCAATTCTACAGATGCTAACTGGCAGGAACAAGAGCTTAAAGGGTAAAGGATAACAGTGCCCTTGTAGAAAATTCTTAAAGTTTGGTTAACTCTCCAACATCATAATCATCCTTTGTTGAATTTTGGAGTGTGTTTTGCTGGACTGAGGATGAGATGATGAGCTGTTTGTTATTTGCAGAAAGAGGTCCCTCAAGACTGGTAACAGGTATAGATGTCAGACCACTGTGAGACATAGATCTTCTGGCATGACAGATCTCTGTAGAGAGGCATCTTTCATGACCGCCTACCTCTTTCTCATGACTAAGCCTTGTTGTTGAAGAACCAGCGCTGGCACTGGGTACCATAGTACTGGTGCTTCTTGCATTCATGCTGGTTGTTGGCACCATGCTAGCAATTTCATCAGTGGGTGAGCGCCCAATGCTACCATCTACTTGTGCCCTGATTTCTGGTGAAACTGAGAGTTGGTACTGTGGCACAGGGCCACTGTCACTGCTCTTAGGGTAGAGGTAAGTCTTCATCTGACCTTTGCCTTTGACATTAACTGTGCCACGGTAATCAAACTCATAATCCATGGCATTGAGCACACAATAGCTCTCCTCACTGACCTGGACACGACACTCCACACCTGTTGTATCCATGCGACTGGCAATGTTGACTGTGTCGCCCCAAATATCGTAGAGAAGCTTAGTGGTGCCAATCACTCCTGCTGTTAGGGGCCCGTGATTGAATCCGATGCGAAGCTTGAAGCCAAATCCCAGCATGTTCTTGTTGAAGTCATCCACCACGCGCATCATTTCTAGGGCAAATTCAAAAAGAGCACGGAGGTGGGCATGAGGATGTGCTGCATCTGCACACTGCTGCGCATTGAGACCTGCTGCTGCCATGTACGTGGCACCGATGGTCTTGATCTTTTCAATGTTCGTGAAGGTAGGCTTCCGTAACAGCTCATCAAAGTCACCAATTAGTTCGTTGAGGACACGATAGCACTCTTTGCCTCCCTCATAGCTTTCTTCATAAAACTCACTGAAGTTAACAATACTGGCAAATATTACTCCCACATTGTCATGGTTCTTGGAGTAGCTCTGGGTGACCTTCAGCTGCTCTGCCACATGGATGGGGATGATATTGCGAAGCAGCCAGTCAGCTTGGTCTCTCATGTTCTGGATTTTGATGCGGTGTTGATCAGCCTCCACGTTGCCATGATAATGCAGGCGGTAACTAACCTCAAGTTCATGGTTAAGGAACCAGACCAGGAGAAGGAGCAGGAAAAAGGCCACACAGACCTCAGGGCCCAGCAGGTCCTGCGGATGGGGCTGTGGGTCACGGTCCACTGAGCTGTCAGACATGACAATGGAGCTGTTGCTGCTGTTTTGCCAAATAGACCTGGTGGATAAAGGGAGAGAGAGAAAGAGTGACAAAGAGCAGGAAACAAATGCAGGGACACAGACAAGTAAATGGTTAGAACAAAAATTTTGCATGTCAAAAATATTTTATATCAGCAAGTCACTAGTTGTATCCATAGGATCTTTTGGCATAAGTTGCATGTACCTTAAGAAATTCAGTATTTGTGCATCATGCAAGCAAACATTCTGTCAAAAAAGTAAATTGGAGACACCCCAGTGGCTTCGTTTTGGGACACTAACCATGCATGATCTGCTACCTTCTTTCAATCTCGCTATTCCACATTTTGTCTCCTCCCTGTGGCTATCAAATAAAGGTATAATATAAAAACTGTTTGCTTTTTCAAAAAAACTTGTTTTAGGTGTTTGTCGTGTGAACTGCAAGAGCTGCAAGTAGAAGTGATGACACTAAAAACAATCAAAGCACTTACCAGAAAAACAAACTCTTAGTAACACTGGAAGAGAGGAAACACAAGTAGCACAGAATTTTTAATATATAAATATATGGCAGTAAATTCTATTTCCTTTCATTAATGTCTACACAGTGAACAGGCATGTCATACCTGCAGGGGGAAATGAAGAGTAAGGAAAGCAGTGCCAGTCCCACCAGTGTTGCTAGAGTTGAACGTATCCAGTAGCTGAGTTGGCAGAAGTTACAGTATTGAATGATAGCTATGACGACAGCACAGCAAATGAACATGGTGAACTGTGAAAAAATATAGGGAAAAAAGCTATATTCTTTAGTCACAAGACCCCAGCATTGGTAGATTATAAGATACTGTAATTTACACAGACTGTAAGCTATTTTAAAATACTATACAACTAAAGGTCATAAGTTATTTAGAACATTTAGAACAAAACTCATATTCTGAGTAGACAATTTGACAACAGCAAACAATTTGCTATTACTATTAAGACAGAAGCCAAATAACACTACAAGTACTTGGTACCCTTGTGATCCATTTTTAAATAAAAAAAAATTGAACGTCCACCTGAATGGAGAGATGCATGTCACAGGTGACATGGGAGAAGACAGCCACAGCAGGAAGGGACACCAGAACAGCTCCTATAAAGTGACGAGGTATCCATCCTGAAACTGCTCTCATCAGCACTCGAGTGCAGTTCAGCACGGTGTCCAGGTAGAAAGCCACCCTGGAGAGGAAAACCAGGAAGCAGAGACAGAAGAATGGACAGTGAGAGAGATGGGAGTCAAAATTTATCACTAAGAATGATATTTAATTATCTGGCAGGGGTAATTCAGAAAAGGAATATAAGAAATAAGGCACCTGGAGCAAAAAGGCCTACACACTTTTCTAACACAAATATAGTTTAAATATGTTGAGTGACAAATGTATGAGTGAAATGGGTTAATAATTTACAACAAATCTAATACGATAGATTACATTTTAAGAACAGTGAGGTAAGACCAGTGCTCACGGTTTTTCCTATTAGGCAGTAAAAGCACTTGCCCACTGACAAAATGTGATAATCATTTATACTAAGAATCCTAACACATCCTGTGTTTCGACAACACATTTCAACTTTGTAATATTATAATCCTGTAGAAACTTTCAAGGTCAAAGGTCAGCGTGTTTATTTGTCATATGCACAGTTAGGAAGCGTGTTTCCCTGTACAATGAAATTCTTACTTTGCCGTCCACATGAATGCCACACAATACAAGTGAAATATAAAGTAGATGAGCAATAACTCAAATCTAAATAGGCAGTAAAATCACAAATCTAAGGCACTTTAAAGCAGCAAGTGAAAGAAGCAAATAAAAATACAACAAGACACAATATAATGCATAGAGAATATATACTACGTGGGAGCCATGGAGTGCAAATACTCAGCAGTGAGTGTGCAATTATGCATGTGCAAAATGAGTATGTAAACAGTACAGATGGAATTGCATGAGGTAGATCCTGAGTCAGCTGTTTGAGTCTGATGGCAGAGGGAAAGAAAGAGTTTTTCAGTTTAGAGGTCCTGCATTTCACACTTCTGAGCCTCCGACCAGAGGGTAAGGGTATAAACAATCCGTGCTGGGGGTGAGTGGGGTCCTTGAGGATGGAGGCAGACCTTGCGGTGGTAAATACTCTGCAGAGAGGGCAGTGGAGTCCTGGTGATCTTCTCTGTATCTTTACTACACTCAGCAGGCGCTTGCAGTCCATAGCAGTAGTGCTGCCGTACCAGACAGTGATGTAGCTGGTCAAGATGCTCTCAATGATGCAGCTGTAGAAGTTGCTGAGGATCCTAGGCGACATGCCAAACCTCATCAGCCTCCTCGGGAAGTACAGCCGCCGTTGGGCCTTCTTGACCAGCTGTGTGGTGTTAAGTGTCCAGGTGAGGTCCTCACTGATGTGGAAACCCAGGTATTTGAAGCTGCTCACCCTCTCCACTTCGAGCCCCCGTATGAACAGTGGCTGATGAGTTCTCCTCTCCTTCCTCATGTCCACCATCATCTTGTCTGTGTTGAGGCTGAGATTATTGTCCATGCACCATGACACCAGACTGGCTACCTCTCTCCTGTAGGCTGCTTCGTCACTGCCAGTGATGCGACCTATCATTGCAGTGTCGTGGCGACACAGTTGTGGGTGAACAGGGTGTAGAGGATGGCACTGAGGACACATCCCTGTGGGGTGCCAGTGTTCGTAACAATGCTGGCTGAAGTCCTATTGCCAATCCTGACAGTCTGGGGTCTGCCAGTCAGAAAGTCCGGGAGCCAGTCACAGAGGGTAGGGTGCAGACCCAGTGTGGACAGTTTGTGGGTGAATTTGTGGGGGACAACTGTGTTGAGGGCAGAGCTGTAGTCAATGAAGAGTATCCTGATGTAAGAGTCTCCATTTTCTCCTTCCAAATGAGGCAAAAAGCTGTTACATTCAACTCCACAAGAAGCAATTCACTGTCCATCCCTCTTGAGACTGTTATACCGCCAAACAGTTTCAAAGCCTCTCTCTTTATATTAAGTAATAGGCATTTTTATCTTTTAATCTTGGCAAGTTGCACAATTAGGAGAAATGTCAAATTTGAAATACAGAGGCCATTTTTATGTTGTTATTTTGCCATTAAATGAAATGATTACTCTAAATTAAAATAGTGAAAAATTCTAACAGGGTTCTAGCCTGACCATACATTCTAAACATGAGAGGGGTCTTATGACATTTTCTTGCAGGCTGGATCTAGCCCAAGTCCTTGTGGATTCAGACCCCAAATCTACATTCAGTGTCTCACCGTATAGCAAAGAGCAGAGCCAGAGCCTCCAGCAGGGCGGCTACAGCTGTCACAATGAGCACCGGTGTGGACAGACTCTGCTGGGTGACAAGCGGTGGAAGGAAACAGGCCAGGGAGAGAGCAAGAAATATTGAACAGCACAGCAACATGTCCAGGAAAGAACTGAATGTTGGGCTGGCAAATGTCTGCACTGCTGCTTTGGACT